GTTTGAGTCCCAGGAAAGTACATAGGATAGTTTTTATCCCGGTTTTTGAAACAGGGACGCGCGCGACAAAGTTTTTTTGTGACAGACAAAATTCCACGCGGGCGATGCCGCGGGCGGAAAGCTAAGTGTATGGCATAAGTTACAAAGTTATTGTTTAAGACGAAATTCGTAGCACAGTAGCCAATATTCGTAGCTACGAGTAGGTACGTACGTAGTCAAAACTGAAACATCGTAGATGATTATTCCTATGTACGAGTAGGTATAATATGAAATAACTCTACCTAAAATTCGTAACTCCGATAATTTATTCGAGTGAAGTTTGGTAACTTGGATTCGGCAATATTCCATCAATATTGGATGTTTAAACAACCTATATTCCTCCGAATACAGAAAAGGAAAACCGTTTCAATAAATAGGTGCTTAAAATTTATTGTCTCATTTCTGTAGCGAATAAATCGCAGCTGGTTCACAAAGAGGTCGCTGGATCCAATATTATGTCAATATTGTCGCGAAAATATTTCATTTTGTTTGTATGGGACGTCCGCGTCCACTCGACGAAGCGCTCCCTTCGAATAACTATTTGTTAGGAATTGTAATCGGCGAAATGTATTTGTTCGCATAACCGAAGCTTTTTAGGATAAAGCCCATTATAACGGATATTGTTTTTGTAAGCATGACGATATATTAGTAGGTATTTTCTGGCCTATTAGGTATAAACTTTTTAATTATTACAGATAATTAATTTATGTAGTCTACCTACACGTAACAGATAGTGAGTACCTACTTTAGGCTGAACAGACCAACAGCTGGCGTATTTTTTAACATGAGAAATTAAATAATTTGCATTTGCCCGGTTTCCACTAAAGCAATCAGATTTCATTATTTCCACTTCTCGTCCAAAGAAAAATTTTACGGCCCGACACTTCTCCGCTCCGCTCCGCTTTGGTGGAAACCGGGCCTTACAGTTATCCGTTTACGATTTAAATTGAAATTCGATTTTAAATCCATTTTCAGGCCGGAATAAAGAGCTCAATACAAAGCACGACTCTACATTTTAAATTTTAAAAACTTGAATAAATCGATTGCCTTTAGTAGACCAGGTGTGAATCGAACTGACGACCTTTTCCTAGCCGGATATTATTAAATCCATTGTAAAATAACAAACATCATAGAAAGAAAATTACGAGTTAAGTAAGTTATTCGACATCCTCCATCTATTACAACGCACTGCCTTGCAGTGCTTCAGTGACTTACTCTGTATTACGCAAAACCAACGAGGGTAAGAAAAACAACTCGAGGCAAATATCTATTTCATCAACAAACATTTACATAGCGTACCCTGACCCTTGTTCCCGGGCTAATAGTACTCTACGCTACTCCAATCTCGTATCCACCAAATGGGTTGTAGTACTTAATAGAATTTTAACACGTTTGCTACCCCGCCCATCGTGTAATACACGTCAATTGTTGCCATTGTGTCTTCTTGTTCGCGACAGTGAATGTGTTAAGTCCATTGTCTCCGGCTAAACTACACAATAGTCACCTATACCGTTACATTGGAACAAAGGACCGTCAACTCGGTAATGGGCGCATTAGGACCTTGGGATGCAATCGACAAAGTTATAACAATAACGAACCACAAGCGCCACAAATCATTCCGCTAGTAGGTATTAGCGGGTTACACCTATGACCTATCTACTTAATGGTGGTAGTGGTTATACCGTGCGATTGTTCACAGCCTTGTTATTCACACTGCGAGTAGTGAAATCGTTGTGTAGTGATTACATAGGTACCATTTTTTTAAAGGACAATGGGCAAAATGGTACCCGGCTCCAATAGATATGAGTCTAGTATCGTTTGAAAGGTCTTACCAAGATGAACAACTTTTACTATGACCACCAGCCTCAGATCTGGTTGTGTACGAAGATATACATACTTTTTTGCAGAATGGTACCCGGCTCCAATAGTAATGTTTGTAGTGTCATTTGAAAGGTATTACCAAGACGAACAACATTTACTATGGCCACCAGCCTCAGATCTGGTTGCGGTCGAAGATAAAGATACTTTTTGTGTAACCTAAGTATCATACAGTAAGTATGAAGGGGGACGCGCTCGGGGCAAGGCACCGACGAGATGGTCGGACGCGGTGAGGAAGACGGTGCGGTCCACACAGCTTATGACCGCAGTCTGTGGAGGAACACTATCTGTGGTCGCGATCCTCATCAGTGAGGGAGGAAGAGACCGAGGAAGAAAAAGAAGAAGTATCATACGTGTCCTTCGTATGGTACTTAGGTTATGCGAGTCAGGAAGGGTTTACTGTTCCAGCATCCTTCCTTAACTCTATAATTATTGATGGGGGTGATTGTAAAATAAATATTTTTATTTAAAGAAGTACTACCCCCTTATTAATAAAAAGTTACACCTAGGAAGAACCTTGGATTAAAATGACATTTCCATACCAAATGACAATTTAAACCAGAGTTCAACTAGGGTGTAACTTTTATTAATAAAGTGGTTAAAGTTTTATTACTTCTTAAGGGTTTTATTATGGGTTGCTAAAGCGAATAAACCCACAAGACCCAACAAGTCCACCCATAAGATGGACCGACGACCTCACAAAGGTAGCGGGAAGGCGCTGGATGCAGGCCACCACCAACCGACCATTGTGGAAATCATTGGGGGAGGCCTATGTTCAACTGGACGTCCTATGGCTAAAATGATCACGATGATGATGATGAAAGCGAATAAAGGTCTAATAGCTTGAGTAGTTCATCGTAGGTATAATCCTTTCCTTTTCAATGCTTCTTTTAGTTATATTAATAGATTGTAGTCATAATACATACTCGTATACATGGATGATTGTGTTATACTTTCATTATAATACTTAGTGGAATTACTGCTTTCAAAACGTGAATTAGATCTGGCCCCATAGCAGACATTTACCTACATCTAAAGGCCTTTTAAAATATATATTGGTTATGGCTATTGGAGCGGGTACCACTTTCCATACATTTGTGCCCATCATCCTTTGTCTATTTTGTTGTTAAAGAATTTCTACGTGTTATGTGATAAGAAAAATCCGCACTTTTCCGGAATCCGTTATTTCCAGGATGTGCAATTGACTTTTTCGACCTAATTATAATAACCACTTGACCGAAACATAACTTATGAAGGTAAAGGAGTCGGTAAAAAGTACATTATCCGACATTCTTTAAGTTTTTTCGGTATTGGATAGATTTAATTAATAATTTTCATTAATAAAAGTATTATCACAAATCTAAAAGCAATTTCGTTCCATTTACAAACAGCGCATAGGCTCCAAGAGATGGCGTAAGCAAGCAAGGTACAACGCGCCCTATGTGTCATTTTAAAATCAGCAGTAATTATATTGGTTCATCATTAATTTACTAATTACTGTATTTACTAAACTAGCACTTTAAAAATGAACTCTAATGGTTGAAAGCAAACACTAGTTAGGTAGGTGTTACAAGTTGGGAATAAAAAACCAAATTCATTGTTCAATTTATTTGGTTAAATCAGGAATTTCAAATTTTTTATCGCAGGAAAAGGCGACAGTCATGGCATATCTCACACCAGCAGACACTTTTTCAACATAATGTAAGTTTTCTCGACCACTAGTGAACATGCTGACTCTAGCTTTCCGAGGTTCCACCGTGCTATTGTACTTATCGTCTATGAACACGAACCGACCTCCTTTAAAATCTATGCCATAGTCTGTGAGATAAAGCAGTGTTGTGTAGTGGAAAGACTTATAGGTTTCCTGAAAAAAATAAAAGAAAGATTATTACAAAACATTGTACCTATCATTACACTTACACTTTAAATATCTTTTGTATATTACTACAGTTACACACCTTGTCAACATGTGGATGCCAGTACTCATCATGAATAGTGACAGCCTTCTTTGGAGTCATTTCAGAGAAAAATGTTGGAGATGTCAGATATATTTTGCTAGGATCCACTCCAAAATGGTGTGCTACAGAGTACTTGATTTTTTCCTTGATTACCTGAAACAACAAAGTAAATAACATAAATCAAAAGAAACAAGCTGATTCTCATAATTATCAGAAAAAGCATGCCATACCCTAAATATATTGAAGTCATTTTCAGTAAATAGATCTTTAGCATCGTCCAATTTGAAAATATTAACAAAGTTTTGTCCTTTAGATAATGCCCCACTATGCAAGTCTAAAATAGAAGCTCCGCCAGAAGAACCCCCAAGTTTGAATCCTTTTTTGGCGATGGCCAGCAAGTCGTCGGCTTCTCGAACAGATATAACTTTATCGCTCACATATCTCTTGCATTCTTTCGGGTAGCAACCCTCGAAATTGTCTATTTCTTTCAAATAATCTGGAGAACACTCCACGACTCGACCTACACCTGGGAGGAGCTCTGATTGTTTAGCAAATGTCTTAACTTTATCGTCTTTAGATGAAAAGTATACGACGACGAGAAGTGATGTTATGACCACAATACGAGAGATAACTCTCAATGGAATGCTCTGGTTCGTTGATGATCTGAAATATTACCAGCATTAAATAAACACAAATTTCAATGCGAACTGAAAATAAATTTGTTTTCAAAGTTGTTTACCCTGCAGCACCGGCCTGTTTCTTATCGGGATCTTTGACTTCATCGCTTGGTTTTTCGCCAGAATCTTTATTTTTGTTTCTTCTTCTCAATTCTGACATTCTGTTGGAATGAAATAGTAGCCTAATTTTGAATTATTTCAATTTAACAACAAACAACAAATATTGATTTTGTACTTTCGTGCACGAATAGTTTAGCAAATGTCAAATGACTGTTTGTTTATGGTCACTGCTGTCACACCCTAAAAAAAATTAAAGAACCACAAACAATGGCTAACCATTTTTTTAAAAGTCGTAGCTATATCCGTAACACTTCTGCATGCATACATATTTTTCAATACAACAAGGTACATCACTAGTGTTTTTTTTTTTAATGTTAAATGTTGAATGTTGGCCAGATTGGGAAAAATAACACGGCCGTTGTATGTTGACTGACTGCATTTGCGATATTTTATTTTATTTTGAGTGTTTGCTCTAAATTGTCTGTATATAATTGCACTTATTCTGTAACATGTTTGGATGTTATTTCCAATCATAGTGGAGAATAATATAGCCGCACGTTGAGTTAATAACTACGCCATGTTTTTCGAAGACGACGACGACGAGAGAGTCGAAAGATTTCTCAATCCCGAAATACTTCACGTCGTCCATCGTGAACTCTGTGCGTATTCAAACAAGGTTAAATATTTTCGTGCCGTTAGGTTGTATACTAAACTTTTATTTCCTTCCAGATGCCTTTACTGCCAATTTGGATTATGCACGATATGGTGTCGGTGTGCGATCTGTACCCACTCATACTGAAGACGGGATACCGATTAGAAAGATATATGTGTCCAATCTGCCACCAAAAGTAAGTTAGCACGTTTTATTTTCCTATAATAATCCCCGCGAGGTGATCCACCACGACTGAAAAATCAATACCTTCATTGATTGGCAAATTCCAGCCCTGCTATTGTCAACACTGTCATGTCATATGGTTTTGAAAGCTGTTTCATTCTGTTGCAGTAAATTTTGCCTTTTTTATGATATGAGCTTGTTGCAGCACTTAAACTGTCCAAAAATATTTATCTTGTGGGGGTAGACATAATTATTTTTTCTAAGAAACTCACAAAGGCAATAGACATTAAGATAACATTGTAATTTCTGCTTTTCAAATGAACATGTACTGTTTTGTTTCAGACTACTCGCACAGAGCTGTTCAATGTATTTGCTCAGTACGGCTTCATAAAGAGTTGTTGGTTGCGGATGGGTGATAAGGGCCCCAACAGGATTCCAACCCCGACATATGCCTTTGTGACATTCAGCAATCCCGCTGATGCTCACAAGTAAGTTAAATTTATTTTCATCTTATTTCGAACTAAACTGTAATTAACACAAATTCATCTTTCAAAAGAATTTGAAGTTTATTATATTTACTATGAAACTCCACACACAACTCCAGTTTACGAGGTTAAACAAACATTATATTGCTTCATTTTTCTTGAACGATTCATTTTCATAAGCATTATTTGTGTGCAATGCTTGGAATAAAGATAAATTCATTAATTCTATTGTCAGCTCAATCTTTTAGATTAACAGCCCATTACTACAATATTGTCCATGCCCTATTGTTTAACGGTTGTGTTTCGTTTGTCAGTGAAGTATTTTTTATCTCCCAGAGCACTGTTAGCACCGAACCATGAAAAGATTTTACGTGGTCGCAGCTTAAGAATATCTCCGGCTGACAGTTGGCATCAGCCGGCTGAAGATGAAGACAACAAATTTAAGAAACCTCGTGGAAACACTAGGAACAAATCGCATGCCTCCAACAGTAAAGACCCTCAGAGTAGTAAGTTTTTTTCAAATTAAAATTCTTTATTTGCTTAAAAAATAGGGTAAATAATACATGTGGTGATGGTATTTTATGTGTTAACATTTGCTCATTGTTTGCCCTCTATGCCAAAAAATTGCAGTAACATAATGCGAAAGTCATTGGCATACGAAAGAGTTGATGATATGGAACTGTAATTATCAAAAGAATGAAACAATATTTATATTATCACCATTGTCTTACAGGTAATGCAAATGGTGAATCTTCCACTGACAGCAATGAAACATCTGAGGGAAACCCTAGTGTAAGTACAGCTGCTCATTTAACTTTGGCATTAAACAAGTAGAAAGTATACCTAAATTACTTCTGGAAATTATTTATTGCACATATTTGTACACTATATTACATTGTCAAACAATAATACATGTTCCTTGTGATTATTATTTGTGATGTAATGTTGATCGTTATGATGTTGTTCGTTAATAAAGTTTTATTTTTTAGGAAGAGACGGAGGATGCGGAACCTACCTATAACATATTGGACGTGCTGAATAGGGATTGCATGACCCATGTGTTAACCTTCATACCCATCATTGATCTCATCAGATCGGAAAGAGTGAGCAAATCTTGGCAGAACATGGTGACAGAATATTTGCACAGTGAGTATAACAAATTATTTTGATCTCAAGTCAAGTTCAAAGGATTATTATCGATTTTGTAGCTTTGGTTACTGTCATGTACCCCACCTGAAGGTGTATCTCGTTTTTATTTGTGTAGAAGAATAAAAAAAAGTTACCTAGTTTGTGTTCCTAAAACTTAACAATGGTAATATCAGTTCAGCATCTATCAATGATTACATTACTTGCAACTAATGTGATACTATGTATCTGTGTTGCAACAAAACAGGTTTCTGCCAGCTTTCAAACGTTGTAAGGCGGTTTCCACCATCAGAGCAGAAATGTTTTGAACAACCAATCAGAATTCATTCAATCTGAATGACATCTTTGGTTATTCAAAATACTTCTCCACTCCATTCCAACTTGATGGAAATCGGGTCTAATGTTGTAAACTTTCAGCTACCAAGAAAACTCTATCTTTACAGGTATCCGCACATACAAAACGTCGTGGTGGCAGCACGAAGTGAGCCTGACGACGGCGGTGCTCCGACGCGTGTTACAGCGACTCGGCGGCTCGTTGGCTCGGCTGCACATCGACCACCATTTGTTGGCGCTTAACGACCGCACTGCGCACTCCATCGGCAAATTCTGTCCAAACTTGGAGGAGCTTAAGGTGAGTTTGGTAAAGATTAGACTACGACCACCCCTACTCGAGTTCAACACTGTCTTATCTAGTAAATTAGAGTAAGTTGTGCTCCTGCAGTTAGACTTTAAATGAACTTATAATTAAGAATATTGACTCTCTCTACTAATTTAGAAAAATTTACTCAAGATGTGAAAGCTCTGCCAAAACTTGGAGTATTGCATGGTATATTAAATATTTAAAGTTTTGTATTAAAAGTAAATCTAATTTATTTTCTTCAGGTTATTGGAATGCATACGAAAAATTGGAATCCATTGCTCTATGGGTGTAAGCAGTTAAAGAACCTCTCCTTTATTTCGTGTAATAAGGTAAGCTCTCATCTTTTTTGTCTCATTTATCATATCTATTTGAAGAAAGTGTGACACTCTGTTAATTTCATTCCAGATTGTGTCATATTTTAACTTTTTTTTTTCTTTTACAGCTCACAGATTCGAGTTTAGTGCATCTTGTTAAAAACGAGTCCTGTATTGAAGATTTGACAATAGCAAACAACACGCATGTCACTGGCCTCTTCTTGACTGGCTCAAATACATTGACACTGCAATCGCTGGCTTTCTATAACTGCTACAACCTACAGGGCACTGTTCTATGTGCGGCTATTGACACTCTTCCCAACCTAACCACCCTTAAATTGGACGTGTGCCCTGTCACTATGTGGAAAATCGTACCTTTAATACTCAAGAAACTACCGAAATTAGAAGAACTGTCGCTAAGTGAATACACATCGGCCGAACTATGTCTCTCGCCGCAGGGAAGCGATGCCTTCTGTGAATCACTATCAACCATGACAGAGTTGAAATCGTTGAATTTGAGCAGAAATATCTACATAAACAATGCAGTTCTAAAACAAGTTGGCCAGTCGTGCCACAAGCTAGAAACACTCAATGTGGCCAGCTGCAATTCAATTAGAACTTTCCCACATTCAGGTAACTTTGTGTTCTACTAATATCCAGTATTTATTTAGTATTCTCAGATTCAGTATCATGTGCTAAGACCGACAATGTATCAATGGCTTGAAAGAGAAGAGAACACTCCCACATCATATAACTTAGGCCCGGTTTTCACCAAGGCTGATTGGAGCGGAGAAATGTTTTGAATAACCAATGAAATGGAAATTAATTAAATCGGATTGGTTATTAAAAAAAATTACCGCTCTGCACCGCCTTGGTGGAACCCCCAGTAGAAGGAAAGCCGATGGTTAGAGCACGTAACTTTGTGAGATATATTTCCTTAACCCATTTGTCCATATCCTTTATTGTCTCTGGAAACATGGAGAGGTTTATGTTCCTATAGAGAGACTATAATATAATTTATTTATTTTCTCTCACAACAGATCAGTCACTTAGGAAAAACATTTTGGATTGTTTAACTGTTTAACTATAGATCAGCATTGTGAGAGCTGGTGCCTATTGTAGATTTTAAGAAAATCTGTATTACAGGTAACCAGGCCCACTCCATATGATTTGTTGATGATGTTTTATTCTGTTTATTACACAGGTGTGGGTGACGAGGGCCTGAAAGCCGTGTGCGCCGGTTGCACAGCGTTGAGACGACTTGACGTGTCCTACCTCGGCGGACTATCAGACGCAGGGCTACGAAGCGCGTCACGACTGTCGCGGCTAGGCTGGCTCACGGCGCGCGGGCTCGCCTCGCTTTCCGCTGCTTCTGTGGTGCACTGTCTGCAAAAGTGCCACCAGCTCGAGGTCAGTGTGACGAATCTTCACGGAAATCGATAAACAGAATGTGACGTCACTAAAACTAATGCTTCAACCACACCAACGAGTGCAGATCGCCATTGTAATCGCCATCGCCGGCGCGATCATAAACCAATGACAGGTCGCGCGGACTGTCATGGATCACACGACAATGGCGATCAGTGTGCTTACCATGAGTTTACGTTTGGTGTGCTCGCTAGCGACTACGTAAAAAATTGACATTAAATGTATGACATATTGTACAGCGCCCCCTAGCGGCTACTTTCAGGAAACAAAATCTTCATAGATTTTTTTGACGTACTCGCTAGCGAGCACTCCGAACGTAAACTCATGGTAAGCACACTGCACGCGTTGGTGTGGTTGAAGTTTAACTCGAGGCTGCGGAGCGTAATTATAATGGTTGATATCTTTATAGCTTTACTAATTCTTCTAAGCGTTTTACGCAAGACACCCCAAATCTCAACATTATGGTTGTTAATTAATTGTTCATGGATTCAAAATTATGAATGATTAATTGAGTGACGACCACGGGACGGAAGATATAGCTGCGTTATGTGCGCAGGCCTTCCACTAGGTGGACCGACGATCTGGTGAAGGTTGCATAAAGGGCCTGGATATTCTGTGTGGAAATTCTTGGGGGAGGCCTTTGTCCAGCAGTGCCGTCATTTGGCTGAAACGAAACTACGAAACGTTTTATGTATTTGTATAATTAGTATGAGCAGATTTTTTCTGTAATTAAACGATGAAGCAGCAGAATTCCCTCTGGGACTCCCTCCATGATTAATTCTGGCTCTCCATGTCCAGAATGTGCTAAAGCCTGGTCCGTGAGCACGTAGAATTTTGTCCAATGACCCCAAGCTACCCATCCTTATCCCTCGCGCGTAATTATGTTGCTGTCGCGCTCGCACACTCACTGCGGGCGCCCGTCGCCACAGAATAAGTAATAGTACAGGTACAGAAGGATTACAGCGCAAGACGATTTAAATAAATGCGAGTCTTGCTACGACGCGATACAGTGGAATTCAGCTCGCACAGCACTACGTACCTACAATTTTATTCACCTACAAGTTTTGTCTCTTTCTATCGCGTGCCTCTGAACTCTTCTTACGCTGTTAGGGTTGCTGTCTAGTGAAAAAATAATTAATCTTCTTATTTGTAATGAGGTACGTATGTAGGTAAGTATGCATTCATTATGGAAAACCTTGGGAGAGGCCTTTGTCCAGCAGTGGACGTCATTTGGCTGAAACGAACGAACGCATTCTGAGCAGTAGTCATAGTAGGTTAGGTTCCTATACTATCCTAAAAATTATTGATTACCTACATGGCCAACATACCTTTCAGCATCTTTGGGAAGCGAAAAAAAAAGATAAATCCGGTAGATTACTTTTCGAATTTAAACACCCGAACGCCGCACAATATTTCTTTCTCTTTATGTCCATTTTTAAATAATACTTCGATCATAGAATTATAATCATACTACAACGCACGCCAGCGTCCTGACGAGCGCGCGCGTGACACTCGACTGATATAATACCCGCCGGCGGGGCGCTTCGCTGTAGGTAATTATCGGATGTACCGCGCGGAGTGAGCCAGGCCTGCCGTCGCACAGTCGCGACAGCAATATAATTACGCGCGAGCTATAAAGATGGGTAGCTTGGGGTCATTGGACAAAATTCTACGTGCTCACGGACCAGGCTTTAGTCATAAACAGTTTATCAATAAATGTTGCCTAATGAATACAGGGCTTTAAAGAATAATGTAACATGTATTGTGGTCTTCAGGAGATCGACCTGTGCGGGTGCGACAACGTGTCGGAGGCTGTGATATCGGCGGCGGTAGAAGCGCTGGACGCGCGCGCGCGCCCTCTGCCGCTGCTGCTGCGACTTGGAGGAACCGCCGCCAGCATACAGGAGACATTCTCGCTCGAGGTACGAGGCTACAGCGTTACGTAGCGTTTGTAACACTTGTTCCCAACGAGTCACACTCAAACGAGTAACATTGTTACTTGTTGGGAAAAATATTGAGAAAAAAATCCCATGTAAGATTCAAGTGATTTCATTACAAAGAAGTTGATAAATGGCGTTTCACGGCCCCCCCGCATGAGTATTTACGAACGTCAAAATGTTTTGCCCAGCGCTGTAGATTTTAACCAATGACGATAGATGGCGCTTTTTACCCACGTCATAATTATTTATTCTGGGTTATAAACAACAATACTGTAAAGTTTCAACAAAATCCGTTCAGTAGTTTTTCCGTGAAAGAGTAACAAACATCATGACATCCAGACATCTAAACTTTCGCATTCATAATATTAGTAGGACAAACAATGTACTATCGGCAACAGTGTTAACTGCCCATTGCCGGTCATGTCGTCTCGTTCTATCGCAGAGAATCCCCATATAATGAGAGCTAGAGCAAAAACGCAATTTTATAAGAAGCCTTATCAATGAGGGTTTTCGCGATTGAAAAATTCGCCAGATGGCAATACGTAGACGCGAGGTCCAAATGCTGCATGATTGGTTGTTTTTGACATGACATTGACAGATATGTCAAAATCCACCAATCACGCAGCAGTCAGACCCTACATCCACGTCCCGCCATCTGGCGGATTTTTCAATCGCGAACACATTCATTGATAAATATTTACTACTCTGCATTGATTGATTGCATTGATAAAACGACCCTGGCATCGCTGGCTCACAACGTAAAATACTTAAGAATTTTCGACAGTTTGGCCATTGTCATAAGCTCGGTTAGTTGGCTTAAAACAGCTTGAACCCAAGGCCGTTAATCACAATTTTATAAAAAACCCTATCAATTAGAGCAATTCCATAGCCGATTTTTTTTTTATATTGTGCCTATTTATTTATTCATGTAGACGATATCTTTACCACTTTTTTATACTAAATAACAGACAACACAGCAGGACTACCCTTCGCACAAGCTGCTGACCGTCAACATGCACGAAGACCGCAGCAACCCCAACCTCAGGCCGGACTTCGTGGACCGCGTGTTCGACTACAGCTCGGACGACTCGCTGGACGACCTGTTCGACCACGAGCTCTACGAGGTGCAGGACTTCGACGACTTCCTCGCTGGCGGTGAGTGTGTTCGAATGACGCGAGCCCGCAGCGACCCAACCTCAGGCCGGACTTCGTGGACCGCGTGTTCGACTACAGCTCGGACGACTCGCTGGACGACCTGTTCGACCACGAGCTCTACGAGGTGCAGGACTTCGACGACTTCCTCGCTGGCGGTGAGTGTGCGAGTGACGCGAGCCCGCAGCGACCCAACCTCAGGCCGGACTTCGTGGACCGCGTGTTCGGCCGGACTGAACATTTGTCTGGGTACCCTTAAAATTAAATTAAGTCTTCAAAACCGTACACTTTTAGATAAAAAAGTTATGTTACACTTTCCCCACAAGGTCTGCATTCGCAATAATGGTTCACCAGTGGCCTTAACCCTGTAACCATCACATCGCATGTGCATGAGCCAATCGGCCAATGGCCAATTTACACCACTTACCAAGACACAGGTCTTTCCTAGTTTGGGTACCAGTCTCCCATTTACAATATTATAGCATATCTGTGTATAAATATACTTAAGTATTTATTAATGTTAGTATTAAGCTTGTTATGTATGGGAGAAAAATAAATAATTTATTATTATATTCTCTAAAATTTCAAACCCTTTAATCCAATGAACACTAAGGCTGGGTTGCACCATCTTACTTTAACTTTGACAAACGTCAAAAATCTATCAAACTCCATACAAAAAGCACCGGTTATCGTCAAACTAAGAGTAGACGCACACCGTTGATTTTTAGTTGGCCGATAGTTGTGCCCGATTTTAATTTGTATGAAGAATCGGCCAAATTGAATCGGCGTAGTGTGCGCACTCCCATACATGCCCATACTGATCAACTGCCCGACTAAACTATCGGCCGACGAAAAATCAACGGTGTGCGCATACTCTAACCGTTAAAGTTAGGTGGTGTAACTCGGCCTAAGTACTAGATTTTAAAATGTCATACGTTCTACGTATCGAACTAAACATTTTATAATACTGCATAAGATGTCAGTTTTTATTTTGACGCGCCCTCACTCATACTGTCTCATACAATACTTACATTGATAATAATACGCGTGTTTATTACAGATTTTTCAGATGACGAGTTTCTCGATCACGACGGAGAAGACATGGATCGACTGTACGCCTACGGAATCCACGCCGCCGACATCATTCTCCTGTAGGCGGCCTCCACGCCACCGAGGCGGTATTACGCAACGCCTAGCTAACAGTAGTATACGCCATTTAATCATCAATACTGTTATATCAAAGAAGGACCATTTGTTTTCCCTCATTTATGTTTTAAACTTTTTTCGAGTTACGAGTTTCACATCATCGCCCATTTAACATAACGAGATTATACAGGTGCAATGCTTATAATAATTACGGTGATTAGATAAGTATTCGATTTTCGTTGTAGTATACAAACACAACTTCTAAATTGTCGTACGAATGGTTATGTTTATACCTTTTCAATTATTAATATGGTGACATAATCAACGATGTATTTATCTGTGATCCAGCAGTGTTGACTAACCATGTCCTAACTGGCTCATCTAGTTTACTGCTTACCTATTTATGTATAAATATCTGCTGTGTATGGTAACTTAAGCAAAGTCTGAAAATATTGTGATAAAAGCAAATTATTTATGTACCTTACTATTTGTGTTATTCTCGGTATTATTTCGTACAATATGTAAAATTAAATTAAAGTTACGAAGTAATCCCATTACCCCAAATATACACCAGTCAACATATTAAAGGAATAGAGGTCGTAAGAAATGAATAACTACTATAATATGCATGCTTACTTTGCCAAATGGTAAGTTGGTGTTTCCATGTGTATTCCTACCATTCGGCAAAATCGCTATTCGATAGATATGCGGATATCGCGCTTTCCATAAGTAAGGTTGTCTTTTAATCAATGTTTGTAGATTTAATGGTTTGTGGGACAATCTAATAAAATTGTAGTGATAATACCTACTTGATGTATCAACACTTACCTCTACCTCACAGCGAATGTGCTGCATACAAATAAAAGTGCACTTCCAACATAGCAGTGTTGATAGTTTCAAGTAAATATTAATCTAAGTTCCTCCTTGACATTGGCTATGGAATATATAGTGTGAGATTTCAATAAAAAAGTCCAAAATATTCAAAATTTTGACCTAATATTGATTTTTATTCTGTATATTATTATATTCATGTTTCATAGCTGTCCATAGACATTTAAACCAGTGAACTAACCACTGATATATTTTAATAATGGAGGTGCCTGGATAGAAAGCAATACCAACCTAGAATTAACGTACTAAATGCATTGTTTAAGTATTCATGCATACTTTGTTCAATAATATGTAATGTATTTATATGTACTTGTTGTTGAGCCTTTGAGTGAAGATGGATATTCACTGTAATCATAATAATTTAGACAAGATCTTTTTAGTTTAGAATCCTTTTTCAGCAATTTTTACTACAATACTGTAACTTTATTATATTTTCCTTTTTAAGAGATAATGCAATGTAATCAAAGTGGTGATTTTTATTTCATTTTACTGAAGGATGATTTTGTTTTAATCCTAAAAAATCAATGACTTTATATTTTTTAAGATACATATTTTTCTTGAATTGGAACAATAAACTTGATTTTATGAGAGGTAACATTTTGTTGATTGAGACAAACTTAGTTATGAATTAATAATATGCAGCATAATTACATTTAAGCATGGCTTAGTTTCATGATTGAAGTAAAGGTTTTTTCATAATTTTGTTTCGTTTTCATTGCAGCTTACATGTTTTATCTCAATGGCTTAGAATTCAAAATGTAAAAGTGAAGAGAAACTTACAGCCATTTATTTTTTTCGTTAAATTTGCAAGGCGTAAGCTATTATGTTGATTATGATAAACACACTTTAATAATAAAAAGCATGTAAGCTGTGTCCAGTTCATGCTTTCACGTTGAGAATATGTAAATGGTTATGTTTGTTAGTTTGTTTTCATTTGCGTATGTGAAATAATATCATGTGTTGGAAAACATACTCATGGTGAATTTCTAGAAGACTAAAATATTTTTCATGGTTCACATAGTGGTGATGTTATGTTTTTAGATTTGCATTTTCGGAAATAACCTCATGCATGAGATGATTTGTGAAAAAGTGTTAGTTTTTATACATAATTGTTTTAACATTATTAGTAAGAAATAAAAACATTATCTTCAGCAAAAAGTAGTTTAATTTTTGAGTACTACTACTACAATCAATCATCAAAAGCCCTATTTGTGCAATACTACCATTTATCAAAATAATGTCTGTCTCGTTATACACACTATTTGTTTTTAACTGATTATTATTTTGACACTAACTTATGGCTACCAGTGAACTTCTGAGCTACTAACATTGTTTTGACATGGCTGCTTCTGTCTTGGTTACTAGAAAAATCTAAAAACTGATCTTTCAACAACAATTTATTTACAATTTAGTAATTCTACAACAAATCTAAACATTTACATCATAATTATTAGTTTTTATATAAATATTCCACCATCTGCCCATGATACCCACATCAACTATTCGCGATGGGAAACTAAAGTATGTTGGCTGTAGGTAAGAGCATTGACCTTTATACAAATCACATTCATTATTCAATTCAGATGTGTACATAATTGAAGCTACTCCAAGGTTCCTGTAGTGAATCAGACCTTCATTGTAGCAGGTGTCGAGGAATCTCAAATGACCCACAGAGGTTGGATTTTGGCATTCTTCGCTAACGAGAACTACTTCATTAGTAATCCTCTTTAGGTAGTCCTTAAAATCCATTTCATTTGGATTATTACGTGCTAGTAAAACAACTGTTGCAATTCCAGCTGTCCACTTTAAGGCCTTTATAGGTTCATCTTGAATATCAGTCCGGAGGTCTTGCAGCATTTGACGATAGTCAATAAATAAGTTTTTCCAGTAGTCAGCCCATTTTTCTATGATTGTCCCTTTAAACTTTTCAGGGAACTTTATTCTTCCTACATTGGCGAACGTCGACGAATTTCTAATGACCCTGAACATACTGTGATTAGTCACGACCTCTGTTTCATTGATATTTTTTAATAAGCCGTTCCAATTATATTAATAAATTGAAAAATAGGTATGTAAAATTTATTAGCTTCTTTTACAAATTTCCCCAGGCATGCATGCTGGAACCAGCTGACAAGCTGTCACTCACAATGACACTGACATTGACTGCTTTACTTTTTTAACACGCTTTTTTTTAAATTACATCATTGGAATTAGTCTATTCGCCAAATTGTTAGTGTTGTAAGAAATTGTTTATATCAATTGCAATTGAAATATCGTTAATGGCAAAATACCATTATTTCTGTGAAAATTATCAACTTTGAAAAGGGTGACCATTATCGTTTTTATCCTTTGAGACTCAAAGTTTGACGCGGCGCACTTCCAAATCAATGTTTGATAGAAATAAAAACATACTTATTAGAATGCGACAATTTTTATTAAAATATTAATGTTAAGCTTTTTCAAGCTGCTTTTTACACAGTTCCTAGAATTAAACATAGCCATTTGGTCGTCTTTTTTAAATATTCATGATATAACTGTAAGTAAGTAATTAGTTAACCTTTTCGAGTAGGCATTGAACCTCCTCCTTTAGCAGCTCTTCTTTTGCGGTTCAAGTTAGCTTGCGGCATGGGCATGGGTGGCATCTGGGGCATTTGTGGCATGGGTGGCATTTGAGGCATTTGTGGAAATCCCTCAGGTGGATCTGCACGTCTTTCAACCTTTGTAAAATATAAAAAGGAGAAATAAGTGATAATAAAAATTTAACACTAATAAATTCAATGGTGCTATTTAGTCCTTTTTCATATTATGTAATTTTGAATCGACATAAAGTATTATTTAAAACTGTAACATTTATCAAAGAACAAAACGCGAACATTGCTATTTGGCATATTCTTCAGGTTAATGGAATGCAGTTTACATACACTGTAAAAAATCTGGATGGACATACAATATTTACCCGCATTATATATGGCTCTAAGTCTAGATTTAAATTTACTTACTCTGTTCAATGGCTGTAAGTAGTCGTACGAAACAACAGCATCTACTCCAGGAGGTGGAGGTGGAGGAGGGGGATCCTGACTCTGGCTGCTGTGCAGGACAGCACAGATGGCAAAGACCACTAAACAAAACGACTGTTTCATCTTCACTGGTCACTGCTACATGAACACAAACCTGCATCACCTCTCTATATAAGGTCCAGCGTGCATGCTCTTAAACGGAAACCTTTGGCTTTTACAAAGAACACGTAACCAGACTTCCTGTGAGATACACGCGAGAGATAATAAAAACATGCCATATAATAGCGACGATAAAATAACTCATGTAGAAGCTGTGTATTATCTCATGAACGTAGTGGAAATCGAAAATGAGAGACGTCTCTGCAATTACATACTAATTAAAATAGATTTGCACCAGTACCAACAGCGTTTTTTAAAGCTATTCACAGATAAAGATCTTGATAGCATTGACTGACACACCGTACATCCATTATACTTATTCATTACACAATGAGTAGTGGTGTGGTGCACACTCTGACTATGAAAAGCTTGCCGTCCACTCTGTCTCAGGTTCCAATCCTGCATGATAAAGACTTATGAATAAATACCTAAAATCCTTTTGCTTAGTTCTGGTCATTTAGCTTTTCATTTATACTTCTTCTTCTTCCTCGGTAGGTCCCTCACTGATGAGGATCGCACGGCACGATGCATACTTCTGCCCAGCATCGTCTTCCTCACCACTTTTGACCAACTCGTCGGTGCCTTACCCTTCGTTGATAAAAATTGTAGTAGTTAATAATGCCTACCATCTACAATTCTACATACTTATATACCTATCCCCCTTGACAAGTGGAAAATAGAGGATTTCGAAATCATTTCACGGAGCGATGTATCTACAAAAAAATTCGAAATTTCTTACCACAAACGTTATTTACCACTTGTTGTATAGGGGGGCTGATGTACACACGGCAACACTGTTACAGTCATTTCCGTTTTTGCTCTCGCTCTCATCAAATGGTGATTCTTTGCGATAGAACGAGATGACATGACTGGCAATGGGCAGTTAACACTTAACACTGTTGCCGATAGTACCTTGTACTTGTACCTACATTTGCATAAGTTTATCATTTCTCTGGGTACAACATTCGCTATTGACGTAACATTGATTTTTTAATTTAGATAAATCTTGAATGTACCTGGGTATTTTATTGATTTCATTCAGTCAAGTGTTTTGAGTTTTGACCCTTTTTGAGAAATCCGAGTCTTGAGGAATTTTTTTAGGATTTTTTAATTTTTTATACTGGTAGCCCAACCTGTGCAAAAATTGCCTACCCGCCAAAAATCGGATTAATGTCACATTGATTGAAAGTAATGTTGGTACACTAAAAACTTTACAAAATTTTATTTCTGCAGCGTCCAGTCACTCCAGTCACTGGTTACTTTGATTAGAAGGAAGCTTAGCCATGGAGACCACAAGCACACCTGTTGTGGCTGCTGCCGCCGGCAAAGTTTACAAAGTGCAGCAGAGTCGAGTTGGACGCGGTGTGCCAGTTATCCAAGATGCCTATACGAAGAAATGTTCTTGCTACAGAGATAAAACTATTGTATTTTGCCGAGCTTGTGGCTATTACTGCAATGGCCGCATACGCCTTAAGTGTGAACAGCACCCAAGGGTATGTAAACACTAGACAAGAAGTACTAACCAAGTGTAAACTAGGTCTCGATTTGAAAGTTCTTCTAGTATTTAACCAACTAGCTAGATGGTAAATCTACTATTACATGATATTCATACTCAGAAAAATCTACCTACCTACTAAAAATTACTTTATCTGCATTTTTTCAAATTAAGTCACAATATTATCCAACATGTTTCTTTTAAAATTTTCTAGAAACCTAATACACAATTTCAATAGGTGCAGCAACATAAAGTACCTACCTACCTTATTTCAATGCCTTGTAACATGGGTCTTAATAATTTTTAAAATTTTCCAGGTTACATTCTTGCTGGATATAGCAGAGTGTCCCCGGTGCAATTCACCATCATTCTTGGATGAGTACTTCAAAAATACTTAAATATTATCTATATTTGTCCTATACTGATTTTAGTAGTCTATCATAAGAGGTAACATACTAAATAAACTAGCTTTTATTGTGACTAATGTAAGAAGAATGTTACAGGTGTTTATTCATAACATTCAATGTGTTGTTTTATGTTAGAAGAAAGTTGATAATTTTGTTTAAGAAGTTTTATTTTTGTTACTTTTATGGGATATCAAAATGGAAAATAGTTAAGCCAATTTTCTCATTTACATAACAGATAGTGATAGTTGTCACTGATTAGTTACAAAACAATACAGTTTTTTGAGAAAAACTTAACTTGTTTGTAGCTAATGTGCAACCTTGGGTGTTGGTAGAAGAAAATTGAATTTTGTTCCCGTTTTGAAATATTCCCTCATGTGCCATACAAAATTTTGTGAATGAGAAAGAATAAATGACTATAAAAATAATATTTTGATATTATTTTGACTCATTGTTTAATTTTGTATAGATACACATAAAATATTTTATAAATATAGAACTACTGAATGGTCAGCTAGACATTAAAAGAAAACATAAGTTTGTACAATTTAATATTTATCTAAAACTATGAACAACATTGTCTATTTACTAATATTTATATTGAAAACCAGCTAGGAACATCTGATCTGTTTTTGTTACGTTCTATGTATTTTTTGAAACTCTTCTTCGCTTCATCTAAAGATTTCATGTTTTCTTCTTCATCTTCTTTGCTCTTTTCAAACAAATCTGGATATTGAAAAGTCTGCCCTTTTGGCTGGAAATTTACAAATAGTTTTAATAATAATTTTAATAAATCAGCCAAAGTATTATAGTAAGGACACTGCTATTACAGTACATTTGTCTGAATACTTATTCCATTACTCTACAAATTGTATTCTATTACTATACTATGAGGCATTGCAGCTACATCTTGAACTTACCAGTACAACATAGGCATATTTGATATCATCATCTTTAGTTACATATCCTCGTCCAATATCTCTCTTGAACTTTCCCATAGTGATTTTTGTTCTTACGTCTATCACTGGAACATTGTATATCTTTTCCAAGTAGTTTTTGATATCATACTTGGTCATTTCCATTGAACATTGGAAGTTAACGATATTAGGCATTTGCTTTGGCAATGGGCGAACCAACTTCATCCAAAAGTTGGGCAGGAACACCCGAAGCTGCGGGTTACCTCGTTGATATATTGGATACCTAAAATTATAAAAGCAAAACCACAAATGAGGTAAGGTATGATCCAATTTTAAAGGATTATTAATATATTCTGCACAATAAACTTACCAGCGAGTGGACATGTTTTAGCAATTACACTAAAGAGAATAATTAATATTTCTTTGTATTGCAGCTAAAGTTTAAGAAATCTATTCTCTGCTTTTAATTTTTCGGCCAAAATAACCACAAAATTTTGACACATTTGACAAGTATGTTTTTTCTAGATAATTTGTTAACGGCATTGAAAGTTGGAATTTTGATATTTTTATCACAATTTATATACAGATAATAAAGAGCTACTGGAAATAGACGGTAAGGGAAAAGTCGTAGTTTCTTTTGAAACTATGACTTAAGATTCCTATATACAGTGTGAGTCACGTTAAAGTGTACATATGAAAATAGATGAAACAAGACCTATTTTTATCGACAAAAAAGAGGTCAAAAATTTTTTGAGATTTTTTTTTAATTTTTTATAGATTTTTTTTTCTTCCAATTACTTATTGTAAAGAAAACATAATAACTTTTAAACTAAGTGGTATATCTTGATAAAATAAAAACAGTAATAATGCTAAATAACAGGCAATACTAAAAAAATACATAAAATACACAAAAAAGGCCAACAAATAATAAAAAAATTATACTTTTTGAAAAAAATCCGCTTAAAAATTCGTGTTTTTTTGGTAATTTGATAAATTTCTCCAAAAAATGCCCCTATAACCGGTAGTTTTTATTACTTTGTATTATTTACTATCGTATTACCTTCGTAAAACGAAAAATAGCATGTCTCTATCCCTATCACAACGTTTGCAATGATCGTTTGAACTAAGCCTCTCCGGGCACGCCATTCAACGCTTCGTTAACAACAAAACTGAAAATGGCTCTAGATTTGTAATTTTGATAAAGACAAGTTAGATTTCAAATAAAAACAAAAGATTTCGAAGTAAAATAAGCATTTTAGTTAAAATTAAAATTGTCTCTACCTGTAGCGGAGAATAATGTTGTGGCAGGCCTTTGTTCAAACGATCATAGCAAATGTTGTGATAGGGATAGAGACATGAGATTTTTGGTTTTACAAAGATAATACGATAGAAAATAATACAAAGTAATAAAAACCACCGGTTATAGGGGCATTTTTTGGAGAAATTTATAAAATAACCAAAAAAACACGAATTTTTAAGCAGATTTTTTTTCAAAAAGTACATTTTTTATTATTTGTTGGCATTTTTTGTGTGTTTTATGTATTTTTTTAGTATTGCCTGTTATTTAGCATTATTACTGTTTTTATTTTATCAGGATATACCGCTTAGTTTAAAATTTATTACGTTTTCTTTACAATAAGTAATTGGAAGAAAAAAAATTCTATAAAAAATTAAAAAAAAATCTCAAAAACTTTTTGACCTCTTTTTCGTCGATAAAAATAGGTCTAATTTCATCTTTTTTCATATGTACACTTTAACGTGACTCACACTGTATAATGGTTTTATTAATCTAAGATATAATGGCATAACGTTCAAGAATTTAGAAAAATCTCGAATTGTTAAACTACATTATGATGGAAGAATCCTCCCCCAAAAATTCCCCTAGAAGTCTAGATTATGTTCTCCGCGGTTCATCCTAGATTATAAACATACGCTTTTCTTTCTAGTACAATTTAGTGAAAGTAAAATAGTTTTCCGGGCTTAGTTTTTTGAGCACCGTTGCAATTTTCAAGTTTGGAAATACCAGCCCCCCTAGACAAAACGCACTTTTTGATCGAATCGAAAATCGAATCCGTCAAAAACTCCATACAAAAAAGGGGCTTTTCAACCACTTTTCGACTGGTTTGTGATTATAATTTGCACTTTGTCTAGACCCACAGGAATGTGCAAGATGCAAGACGATCAAGCTCTATTACGACGATACCAACAAAATTAGGCATCCTACGGTAGGATACCCGGGTAAAAACCCACATGAGGGTAAAAACCCAATAAAAACCCGTTTCATTCCACCCGTGGGTGTTTACACCGGGTGAAAACAAATAATTTTATAATTATTTCAATTGGTATCTTTTCTTTATTTTTATTGAATTTTTCTCATTTAAGTTTATTGATTAATAAGTAGTAAGTCAAATTTAACACTAATATGCATTTATATCGTGGCCAAATCGTAAAATTGATCACGTTATGATGATGTGACCAATTATTTTATAAAATGGTGTTATTTCAAGAATCGTTGAACCGATTTAGAAGAAATTTAGTAGGGAACACAATAATTTGTGATCATGGCAAGGACATGGAGGGGGGGGGTCCTACCTAGACATGCGAAAATCGATGTTAGCTTTTACAGAAACTGAAAAAGTACTTGTTAGCATACAAAAAAAAGAATAATAATATAGCTTTGCACACAACATTATTTTATCCATCCAAAGGAGGAAGACAGAGGAAGAATTATTTCATACTAGCTTTCCACCCTTCGGCTTCGCCCCCGTGGAATTTTGTAGTTGGGTTTCAAAAACCGGGATAAAAACTATCCTATGTCCTTTCCCAGGACTCAAACTGCAAATCTATGCCAAATTTCATCAAAATCGGTTCAGTGGTTTTGGCGTGAAAGAGAGACAGACAGAGTTACTTTCGCATTTATAATATTAGTATAGAGTATAGATAGTAGATAAGTAATAGTATAGATTTATTTAAGAAATACCTAGCTCTTCCTCCTTTTTTCTTACGAAATTATCATACTAGAAATATTAATAGGTTTTTGTTAGTTTTCTGCTATCTATTAATTCGAGTCATTAGTCTTTTCTTTGCATTGTTTCCAAAATAACTCTGAGTGGGTGTCTGTCTGGACTCGCTGGAATAACAACGAGAAACTATTGATTATCACTATAAATAGTACACTATCGATTCGATACTATGTGACAGTCGACATTCAACCGAGCGCGTCACTACCCAATTGCCCGTTCACTCACTCACTCACGAAGGAAGGAAGTTTTGTTCAGCAGCCAGTCAAGTCAGCAGTTCGCCAGTTCAGCAAAAAAGATGGCGGTGGCACTGTCACCCGATCAGGAATTAGTAAGTAAATTAATGTATATTTTAGATAAATCCTAATATAATCTGAATTCTAATCTTTTTTGATGTAGTTAATTCTATCTATTCCATGTTAAGTATAGTTACGAAGCGTTTTTATGCCATGGTAATTGGGGTCGCAACTTGCGTCGTTTACCATGTCACCACTGTTTGTTTTGATTTGTTTCTGTACTTGTTTTTGAAGAAAACTACATAATACTGTGACCTATTTGGCTGTATCTTGGTCAAGTTTTCATGACCAGTGTGTTGTATAGTGTTCTATCATTCATACAAAGCACTGATTTGAGAAACTAGGTAACCACATCAGCGCAGGATGATATCTGAGAGTAAATTTCCGCTTCCGTTTGCTCCGCGATGTCCGACTAATTTAGAGCTGGAATGGTTACGCTTTTTTATTTGTTTCTAATTGGAAACAGTTTTCGTAACTTTCATATCAAGCTTGGATTCTAACCCAGTAACATGACAGCATCCCAAACCAGTTCTTGTATCTATGTTCTAAGGTGTTGCCCATGTCTCAGTTATTTTATTATTAGGGTGAGGTTAAAAGATGTGCTCAGAAGTATGGTGAACTTTCATATAAATTTATTATACCTGTTTTGTATATAAAACGAAACAAACATACATTACCCTTTGACTAGGCTTCAAAATATTTTTTTCAATGGATTTGAACCTTAACACATGTCAATAAAGTTCAATATATGGTGGCAACAGTTCAGTTACTCCTAAAAAAAAGTTTATAAAATATTAAGATGTAGGTACCTAACCCAAGTCACACTAAGTAAATTGCATGCATGGTGTTTTCTGAGTGTAAATTTGGTTTCATTGTGAATATCAGAATTCTATTGCGCTAATTATCAATAGAGAATGGTCTAAAAGTCACTAAATGTTTGGCCTTTTTAGCAACAGTCTAATAAAGCCCTGTAATGCCATCAAAACCTTCCCAACTTGAGAAGACAGTTCTTCTGCCCTGAGACTGTATTTTTGCAGTCGGAGAGACTTGTGTCTCAAGAATGGAGATGAAATGACTGTATCCATAAATGATCACGTCTGAGTTATGACTTATAATGGCATTTACTCTTGCTGTATAATTAATGCAAATGAGAACATTAAGACACTTAATTCAGTGATGATTTATTGCGAAGATAATATTACAACCATGTGCACACACTTGAATGGTAGGAAAAAAAAAGAGACCATAAAGAGGGGCCAACGCTTCTGGGTTGCCAGATATTGTTATTAAATTTTTACCATGTAATTTTGTAAGTCAAAGGAGACTTCTTTTTTGTAATGGTATGAGTTTTTTCTGTTTAATTTTTATACTACGAGGGCTGCACTAAAAGTATCGGGAATGGAATATTTCCACTGTTCCAGTCATATTAAAATCTATTTAATTGCAAACTCCAGGGTTTTAAAAATCGTATACCATTTATTTATTTAAAAAAAGATTCTCGGTCGTATCACAAGGTCTAGTCAAACTTGTTTAGTCGTTGAGAAAATGGAATTGACTCGAGAAAATTCAAGAGCGATGATTTATTATGACTTTCGGAGTGGTTTAACACAAAAACAGTGTGTTGACCGGATGATTTCTGCATTTGGTAATGAAGCCCCATCCAAAACCACAATTTATCGCTGGTTTCCTGAATTTCAACGTGGACGTGTCAAGCTCAGTGATGATCCCCGTCAAGGTCGTCCAAAAACTGCAGTCACCTAAGAAAACGTTGATGCTGTGCGTAAGCTGATTGAAGAAGATCGACATGTGATATACCGCGAAATTCAGGCAACTTTAGACATTGGCATGAGCCAAATACAAATAATCTTGCATGAACAACTAGGTGTAAAAAAGTTGTTTTCCCGATGGATACCGCATTCGCTCTGCGAAGAGCAAAAAGCGGCTCGCGTTACTTGGTGCGTCAGAACTCTCGGGAGATTACATGCAGGATCCTCAAATGCTGTATACAACATCGTATCAGGTGACGAATCATGGATATACGCGTACGAACCCGAAACAAAAAACCAGTCACGAGTTTGGGTGTTCGAAAATGAATTAAAGCCAACAAAAATTGTTCGTTCACGGAGTGTTGCAAAAAAAATGGTGGCCACGTTTGTCTCCAAAACCGGCCATGTTGCGACTATTCCTCTTGGGGGACAAAGAACGGT